TGTCTCCTATCCCTGTCCTGTTATGGGGTATGCAGTGTTGTCTCTGGCTGTGGCCATATGAGGACATACACCACCAACTTGTTCTCTGGGCACCTGCTGAGGCCTCTCTATTTGGAGGTCTTGTTCAGGAGTGAGGAACAGGGAACTTCTGGCCGGTGTGTTGCCCTTAGAGCGAGTGTGCTTCAGGGCCATCCATGCTGCCCAGCTGGTCCCGCCCAGCAGGTCCTGTCTGTCTTTAGGTGCTACCCAGACCTGACTGTGCTTGGTAGGCCACCTGTGCTCTGGTTTTCCAGCTTTCACTGTGAAGTGGAGGGAGCCAGGCACACCCTCCCCTGGTTGCCATAGTTTCCACACAGCAACATTTTAATTTTAGCGCTGACATTTTCCAGGCGGATTTAGAGATGCTGGCCACAGTCTCAGTGGCCTGCGGGGAGGAGGAGAAAGAGGTCACCCCCCTCCCAAGCTGGTGATGGGGTCAGCTGGTCCTGGGGCCGCTGCCATTCTGACTGGCTCCCTTGTGCCATATACTGCTGCCTCAGTGGATGAAGGAAAGGTCCCTAGAGAGGGCAGGATAGGGAGTGTGTGTCCTGCTGTGAGGGGTGACTTAAGACAGCAGAAATGGCCGGGCGGTGGTGGCGCACGCCTTTAATCCCAGCACTTGGGAGGCAGAGGCAGGTGGATTTCTGAGTTCGAGGCCAGCCTGGTCTACAGAGTGAGTTCCAGGACAGCCAGGGCTACACAGAGAAACCCTGTCTCGAAAAACCAAAAAAAAAAAAAAAATAAAAAAAAAAAAAAGACAGCAGAAATGATAGAAGCATCAAGTCCAGGGCTCAGAGGGACCCTGTGAGAATCTTTCCTGCCTTAGTTTCTAGTGGCTTCCGGGGATCACGTGTCACTCTAGACTCTTGACAGTCTGCAGTGTCTTTTCTGTGAGTCTCAGAATGTCCCTGTTCCTGTTCAGGGCAGTTAGAGCTCATTAAAGGCTCATGTATTGAAAACCTGGTTCCTCATGCAGGAGGCAGGGCTTTTGGGAAGTGACTGCTTCCTGAGGGCTCTGCCCTCCTCAGTGAGTTCATTCATTGATAGATTCAGAACGAGGATAGAATACTGTGGAGGGTGTGCGGGCTGGGACGGCAGGTCATGGCTGTGTGGTTTCGAAGGGTATATTCTGTCCTTCCTGTTGTCTCTCTGCTTCCCAGACCACTGTGAAGTGATGTCTTACTTAGTGTCCTTGTGACCACAGTACTTGACACATAGGGAGGAAAGGTTGGATCTGGCGCTCAGTTTCTTTCAGCCCATGTTGGCGGTGGGAAAGGCAGAAGAACATGCATTATTAATGCTGGGAGCATGCAAGGGAGGCTGTTGGGAGCATGGTCTTCCAGGAAGCAGAGTAAGGCAGGAACCCTCCCCACAAAAGTCTCAGAATCTCCAAACTAGTGCTCCCAGTTGGGAGCCCATTGATGCCCCTCTGTAACAGTGAGCATCCTCTGCTGTCTGCTCCATCCCTGTGGTGCTCTGCCTTGACTCAGGCTTAAAGCAGCGGCTTCTGCTGCCCCTGGACTCAAACCTCCAGAACCATAGGTTAAAATATGTCTGCCTCAGTTTTAAATTAGCTCAGGTATTTTTCAGTGTCTGGCCACAAGCAGTATGAATTAACTGAACACCTTGCAAAGATCTAATTCCTCCGCAGTGGAGGAGTTGAAGGAGGGACTAAAGGAGCAGAGGGGGCTTGCAGCCTTGTGGGGAGAGCAACAGTGTCAACCGGCCAGAGCTCTAGGGACTGGACCAGCAACCAAAGAGGGACAGACACATGGAGGGACCCACAGCTCCTGCTGCATATATAGCAGAGGATAGCCTTGTTGAACATCAGGGGGAGGAGCAGCCCTTGGTCCTGTTCGACACCCCAGTGTAGGGGAATGCCAGGGTGGGAAGGAGGGAGTGGGTGGGTGGATGGGGGAGCACCCTCATAGAGGCAGGGGAAGGGGGATGGGATAGGAGGTTTCTGGAGGGGAAACCTGGAGAGGGGATAACATTTGAAATGTAAATAAAGGAAATATCCAATTTAAAAAAAAGATCTAATTCCAATTGCTTTCCTAGTTATCTGTGCCGGGGCTTGGGCATACAAATAAACTAGGTTCAACTCAGGTTATAGGTAGGGCTCTGGGCTGGGCTCTACCTTGGAAAACTCCCAAGTGCCATCAAGGCAGGTGTGGCCCGGACAGGTGTGGCCAGAATGCTGGCTGAGAGGCTGTGGTTAACAGTGGCCTTGGTCCTTCTCACTGTTCTGATGCTTCTTGTTTTTGAACAGCATTCTCCTCCTCCTCCCCCTGGACTGCATGGGGCTATGTGAAGGGAAGATGGGCTGCACCCTGAGAATACATCTGCAGGGTGCTCTAGGAATGGCTGGGACCTGGACTCATGAGTGAGGACATGGCCAGGCTGCCCAGGATATTACTCATACACTTCCAGAGTGATGGTTTAAAACGGAAACTAAGTCAACATTTCCGTTCTCCAGGGCCGGCTGGCAGAAGCTCCTAGCTGGTCATCTGCAGTGCTGCTTCCAGCTCAGCTGTCTCCTTTAATATTATTCTTTCCTTCTGAGACAAGGTCTTACTATGTTGCCCATGCTAGCCTTGAGCTAGTGTTAATCCTCCTGCCTCAGCTTCCTGAGTGCTGGGATTACAGGTGTGAGCCACTCTGTCTGGCTTTGTATCCATCATTCTTTTTTTTTTTTTTTTTTTTTTTTTTTTGTTTTTTTGGTGGCTAAGAGCATTTGCTGCTCTTCAGAGAACCCGAGTTCACTTCTCAGCACCTACGTGGTGGCTCACAACTACCTATGCATCAGCTCTGGGGGAGCTCAGATCCCCTTCTACATGCATGTGGCATGCAGACACAAGAGGAAAACTCCTTAAATTATTGTGTGGGTCCACACATGTGCATACATGGCTTTACATCAGCTGTATATGTGTGGAGCCATTTGTAGGGAAGCTTGCTGTAGGTCTGACTCCCTCTCCTAGTGGCCAGCTGTCACTCCCCCCTCCAGCTGGGGTGGGGATCATCATCCCTCCCCCAACCCCCCAGCTGCAGTGCTGACTGGCTTGACCTTGTGTGCAATCTGGAAGGCAGCCATAGCTGCTGTGCTTTGTCCCCATCCTTCTCGGGCTCTGGCTCTCAGACTCTTTCTCCCGCCCTTCCGTCATGCTCCCTGAGCCTTGGGAGAAGGATTATGACACAGCTGTCTGTCTCAGTTCTGACTGAGCACTCCAGGCACTAAGTTTCTATACTTCAACTAGTTGGGACCTTCTGGGAAAGACTCAAATTTGTAAAACACTCAAGTGAAGCTCTCAAAGGCCTAGTGGTCCTGTCTTCACGGTCCGGGACTCCCTCGTGCATACTTTGTGCTGCTAAACCTCACGACACCGCTACTGTGTGCAACCCCTCTGGTAGGTTCTCATTCTGGTGTCAGGCAGGTTTGGTTGCTATATACCATTTTACTTGGTGTAGGAGTGGCTTTGGAGGTGGGTGGCACCAGGAGTGTTTGTCATTTGCTTCAGTCGCTTTCTTGAAGCTACAACCAAGCTGACTAAGTATGCAGAGAAGAGAGAAGGACTGGTTAGCATGTGCTGGTTGCATTTGAGTACTGGTTAGCATGTGTTGGGTGCAGTTGAGTACTGGTTAGCATGTGCTAAGTGCAGCTAAGTACTGGTTAGTGTGTGCTGGGTACCTGCTGTCAGTCACCTCGCTGGGCATCAGTGCCCTGCATGTTTCCCGGTTCTTTGTCTCTTTGTGGTCACCTGAGGCATCACTGCTGTGACATCTATTCATTTTACAGGTGTGGAGGTGTGAGACTGATTAATGCAGTTAGTTAATTGATTGGCAGCTTGTCCTGGAGCCCCAGCTGCTCAGAGCTGGAGCCAGGCCTGATCTCCTAGAATCCTGACGTGTTCAGCCTCCCAGCTGCTCAGAGCCGGAGCCAGGCCTGATCTCCTAGAATCCTGACTTGTTCAGTCCCCCAGCTGCTCAGAGCCGGAGCCAGGCCTGATCTCCTAGAATCCTGACTTGTTCAGCCTCCCAGCTGCTAGAGGAAGGCTTGGCAGGCTGCTCTGCGACCTTACTCAGCATGCACTCATTTCCTGTCCCCTAAGAAGGTACATGTTACTAGTGACATGGGCGGATGCATGTTGCCAGTATTGAAGGGCAGCTTGTGATGGCAGCAAGCTGGCCTGTTGAGCTCTGAGGTTTTTGATTTTTTTTTTGTTTTGTTTTGTTTTGCCTCTGAGTGGCTAGCTGCCCACAGGAAGTGTGTGACAGCCTTCTCTTCTGGTAGAAGGAGGTAGTGTTTCTATTCTCCTTGACTCGGAGAGCTTTTAGCTTTCACCCTTGGGTCTTTGGTACCACATTGGGCCCCTAGAGGATCTTCCACTCCAAGGGCCAACCGGGGCCAGTTTATCTGCTCGTTTAATCTTGAGGTCTCGAAGCTGTGACTGATGCCTAATTTTTAGAATAGCTACAACTACCCAGTCCTCTGGGCCTCCTGGACAAGTTCTGGTCCAGGATTCACTCCTGGGAGCTCAGTCTGTCTCCTTTGCTTACCCAGCTGAGCTGGGATTGGACACGTGGTCTACGGTGAGCCAGTCACATGCTCTCTGAGGGGCTAGAGCAGCTGACCCAGTTCCTTTCCTAGTGGCCTTGGGAAAATCATTGCTGTCATTCCTTCAGGCCAGGGGATGCTTCTCCCTACAGGCTCCTGTGTCCCCAAGAAGGGAAGGTGTCCTCTGCCTGCCTTCTGTCCCCTATGAAAAGGACTGTGAAGCCCTTTGTGCCTGTCATGTCAGCCTTGATGGACACACTATATTGATCGACAGCCAAGATGTATGGAAATTGTTGTCCTTCCTGTGGGACCCAGCAGTCCCTGGTGCACTTGCTTCTCTCCCTAGGAGGTCATTGTCATAGTGGTGTCCTCTGGAAGAGCCTCATGTCACTTCTCTTATCTGCTACAGGATCATGCGTCCAGATGATGCCAACGTGGCTGGCAATGTTCATGGAGGGACCATTCTGAAGATGATTGAGGAGGCCGGGGTCATCATCAGCACCCGGCACTGTAACAGCCAGAATGGGGTAAGTGCTGGGCCACTTCATGTGGATGTGGGTTATGCATAGACTGTGGGTTCTGTGGCCACAAGGCCACAGCAATGTGGGGTCAGAAAAGTAGTTGACATGGAGCCCAGATCTGCAGTGTTCCTGCTTTGCCCACCCACTGTGTCTTCTGGAGGTCTGACACCGTCAGCCCTGCTTGGGTACCGTTGAATAAGGTTTGGCTTTGGCCTCAGTGTGTAGGGTGGGAAGCCAGCAGAGACAAGCTACTGGACAGCTGAAGGGCTCTCAGCCCCTCCTATGCCTCAGGATCTGTGGCCCACACAGGGCCCTGTCTTGAGCCCTGCTAACCCCTTGGTTGTGGTCAGAAATACTCTGTGCCTGTGTGAATCTGCTATCAGGATGTTTCTGTCCCTGCCTAGACCCTGGTGGCCATGGGCTAGTTCTTTGGCTTTCTGTGCCTGCCTCAGCTGTGATCTGAGTATGAAGCTCCACACCAGGCCCTGCATATTGTTAGGGCCAGTGGTTCACCTCCTCAAGAGTTGTGCAGTGTGGGGTGGCCCTGCAGCTACGACAGGCAGGACAGGCTGTTTGGGTTTAGAACTTTGGGGACTCTGTAGGCAGGCACCTCATGGCAGTGCAGAAGGACCTGATACTGTTTTCTGAAGGCCAGCCAGGGAGAGAGAGTCTGCCTTGACAGCTGCATGTTGTGGCAGGGGCGGAGGTGAGCCTGCAGGGAGTTTGTGATGCACAGCTCTATGGGCTATGGGTCTTAGCTAGTGCCCTGCTGGGCAGAGAGGAAGAAGACCTCCCTTAAAGAAAGTGGGTAGATTCACAGGGCCCCACTGTGGGCTGCTGTGAGCACAGGCTCTATTCAGACCAGAGAACCCAGAGGAAGTACTATTTATCCTGCCTTGGCCAAGCTGGCAAACTGAAGCCAGGGACATCCTGTCACGTACAACCTGTGGTAAAAAGACACAGATGCCTCCTGTTAAACTTTGTTCATTGTACTTTCTTCAAATTAATGTTTGTACAAACTTGGATTGAACAAAATCTATTGATGCTATTTAAGCAAGAGTGCGCTGGCTTGTATCAGTCACACTGTGGTCATTCTTCAGTGTCTTTATTGTGTTGTGACAATTCTTCTGTTGCTCACATCCTTTGCTAACCATGATGAATGACACTCCCAGTTCTGATCAGTGACCTTGATATGACTGTTTTTATTGTTTTAGGCTGTCATGAACTATTGTTGTGCAGGTTAGTAGTGTGCATGTTCTAGGCTGTTCTGTTGGTCCGTTTTGTTTCTGTCTCCTTGGGTCTATTCATTTCTTGAGATATAACATAACTAAACTTATTTCTGTAGTCACCTCTCCATGTTACATGAGTCACTTTATTAACGTTGGCTTTTACTCTTTGAGATAGCGTCATGTAGAGTTTTGGCTGGCCTTGAACTTAATGGAGCTGGTAATGAATTTGAACTTTATCTTTTTCACTTTATGTATTTATGTAATTATTTATGTATTTATGTAATTATGTAATTATTTATTTGGAGAGTGTTATGGTTTCTATATGCTTGGCCAGGGAGTGGCACTGTTGGGAGGTGTGGCCTTATTGGAGTAGGTGTGGCTTAGTGGGTGTGGGCTTTAAGACCCTCATTCTAGCTGTCTGGAAGCTAGTATCCTGCTAGCAGCCTTCAGATGAAGATGGATAACTCTCAACTCTTCCTGCACCATGTCTGCCTGGATGCTGCCATGCTCCCGCCTTGATGATAATGGACTGAAATCTGAACCTGTAAGCCAGCCTCAATTAAATGTTGACCTTATAATTCTCTGTAACCCCTCCCCCTCCTTTTTTTTTTTTTACTGTGTAGTTTCCAGAGAATGAATGTAGGCTATCAGGTGTGTCAGCAGGCATCCCTACTGGCCGAGGCATCTTGCTGACCTGATTTTGAACTTGTGATCCTCCTGTCTCTACCTTTTCATTGTTGGACTTACAGGCATACACACCATGAAGCCATGCCTGCGTATGTGGTGCACACAGGGCAGACAGGCTGCCAGTTCAGCTACGTTCTCTGCCCCAGTGACTTTCCTTTGAAGTCAAACATTAGAAGTGGTGAAGCTTTGTGAGGAAGTAACATCAAAAGCTGAGATAGACTGAAGACTAAGCCAAGTTGGGAGTTGGGAGGAAGGATTCTTGGCAGGCATTGCTCTGTGTGACTGCAGTGAATGAACATGGGAAAGATAAGAGAGGAAGACAGCTCCGTGGCTTATGTCCAGGAAGTTGTCTGGTCTGGAGAGAAGATCAAACCAACCACAGCATTCCCTTCAGCCCAAGTGTTGTCCAGAGCCAGGCCTGACCCCCGACTCTTCCCTTCAAGGCTGAAGGAACAGAGTTCTCTGAGGCAGCTGTAGAAGGGCAGGTGGAAGCCGACTGAGGCCACACGAAGTGAAAGCAAAGACACATGGCTGTGACACAGATGTGCAGGTGAAGCATCAGGTACTACTGCTGAAGCCGCACCGAGTCACACAGAGGATCTAGGGCAGTAGTTGTCAACCTGTGGGTCACGTCACCCAGAAGGTCTAGGGCAGTAGTTGTTGACCTGTGGGTCACTACCGAGTTGAGGGGCTAAACGATCCTTTAATAGGGGTCACCTACGACCATTGGAAAACACAGATGTTTACTTATGATTTATAACAGTAGCAAATTTCCAGTTATGAAGTAGCAGTGAAAATAATTTTATGGTTGGGGGTCACCACAACATGAGGGACTGTATTAAAGGGTCACAGTATTAAGACGACTGAGAAATACTGGTCTAGAGACTTCTGGTGGCAGGTGGCCCCAGCAGACAGCAGACTTAGGTGCAGATGAAGCAGCCTCTACTTGAAGATGTCATCTGGGACTTGCACAGCCGGAGAGCTGACACCAGTGCTTGGGTAGCACAGGTGCCATCTCCTGTTGAGGGCTGAGGCAGCTGGTAACTTTAAGTGGAAGCCAGTAGTATTCCTTGATCATCCCAGAATCCCAGGGCTCCTGAGAATGAAGGTGCTAAGTCCATTCTGCCTGTGCTCTGTGAAGGCAGCAAAGCCTGGGTGACCACACACCTATTTCCTGAGTGGACTGCTGAATACTTTAAACTCACTGTTGAGATCCTGCTGTTCCCAGAAAAGATAACAGCACTGGCCTGTCACCTTAGCTGTTTGTGAGGCTGAAGCAGGAGTGTCACAATTTCACAGTGAGTTTAAGGCCAGTTTAGATAACTCAGTGAGATGCCATCTCGGAAGGAAAATTAGAAGGAAGACCTGTGCTGAGTGCTGGCTTAGCATGTGAGAGAGAAGTCCTAGGTTCGATACTCAGTCCAGCAAATAAACAAGCAAACTGTTTCTCATTGACGGTGTGCTCAGCCACTCAGGAGACTGATGGGTCTGCTGACAAGACTGCCATTCTGAAGCTCATGGATCAACGGGTAGTTCCAGCTCACAGGTGTCATCTGAGAAGTGTGTTTCGATGTCTGTAGCTGCCATGGTGATTTGTCTGATGGGTCTGGACACCATCCACTGGAGACCTGGAGTACAGCATTCATAGTTGGCAGGAGTCTGGAAACAGTGGAGTCCAGCTGACTTGGTTAACTTCAGGGTTGACCGTGGAGGAGAGACTGTGCATGTGATACGGATAGCAGGAGAACCTGAGGTGGAAGTCACGGCCACCTCAGGTCACACTTTAAAGCCGAGGAGCTGAGCGTGTGATGCACAAAGCCAGTGGATGGTCCCTGAGAGGGACTGGCCTGGGGAAGATTCTGGGAGCAGGGCTGCACCACCGTGGGACCAGGATATCATAGAAATTTGCTTGGCAGCACAGCAGCAGTTTGGAGGTGTTGAGTCCACTCTTGGAATGTAGACTGTGAGGGCTCTTCGGTTAGAGAGAGAGGGCAGTTCATCTGCACGCTTCATCAGCGTACTTGAAGAGAGTCTTCAGTACCTTCCGCCCTGCCGTGCCAGCAGCCATCCACATATGGAGGCAAGAGCCGTCAGTCAGGTGAGAAGGCTTAGGTGGTGGCTGTCAGATTTTCAAAGCAGTACCAGACTTTTGAACCAGGATCTTGGTGTGCAAGTGTTGTTGGAGTAAGGCTGAGTGACATCCTGTTGTCACACACTTGCCAGGCCTCTGCAGAGTGTGAGCAGTGTCTCATGAGTGCTCCTGCATACTCGCCTGTATCTGCTTTATTACGGGGTCCTGGTACCCGCTGTGTCTAACAGGCCGTGTAAATCCAGGACAGCCTATGAGCGACCGAGGCTGATCCGGCACTGGTGGATTGTCTGAGGAGGGCCCGCTCCCTAGATCATAGTTGCTGTTACCTCCTGAAGACCTCTGTTTGTCTTCAAAGCACTTACGTCATTTGAGTGCTGTGCCCTCAGGCCCCATGACCCAGTCATTGCCCAGAGGCTCCATTCCTGATCCTTTCACATAGGTGGGTAGAGTTTTCACACGTGTATTTCAGGGCTTTCCCTGTATTCAGACCACAGCTTAGCATTCAGTCTGACCAGTGGAGCTTGGGTGCACAGAATGAGCCATGCCGGCCCGATGTGTCGGAGTGGGGGTGGGTATTGCACAGGCCTTGGCATGGTGATTGGGTACTACCTTGTGAAGCTGGCTTCATTCTGTAGGGAGGGGCCATCCTTAGAGCTCAGTGCATGGGGTGCCCTCTGGTGGCTGTGGGGAGATGTGACGGCATCTCAGAGGCCACCCTTTCTGTAGAGAAGCTTTAAGAGAAAGGCAGTGGGTATCTGAGGAAAGCTTGGACATTAAGGAAGAGGAGGACTTGGGAGGACAGATGGGAAGGCAGGGACACCATTAAATCTATAGTTGTTAGGTCAGGCTTGGTGGCACATGTCTGCTACCAGTACTCAGGAGGAAGGGGCAGCCAAGTAGGAGTACTCACTGCCATCCAGTGAGCAGTGCTGTAGCTCATGTGATCCTCTCTGCCAACGCTTCAGAGGTGGGGCACATTGTCACTGAGGCCACCTCTGAGGGCCTGAGCCACCTGAAGAGCAGCTCTGCTCTGTGGAACTCATGCTTTGAGTCCCTGCTTCCTTGGGCTCCAAACCTGGGGACTGTATTTGGACATTCTTTTCTCCACCTTGCACACTGGCCATAGGTGATCAGCAGTGTCACAACATGTCCTGGGTCTGCTGGGACAGCTTCTTGGCAGAGTACCTCATGGACCATTACCCACCTCTTGCTGTGTCAGTACCCAGTCCTGTAGCCAGAGTCCCTCTAGATGTGACTGCAGTGTATCACATGGTAAGGCCGTGGGTACTAGCTCTGGGGTCAAAGCCAAAGGTCATGCCCACTCCCCTTTCCCGTTCACCCAACTCTGGACATTTAGCACACTGGGTGTGTTCCTGGTTGTTTTTTTTTTTTTTTTTTTAATTTCTCTCCGTGGTCTTGGCTACCTAGGAGCAGACAGGGAGCAGTGATGTGTCAGGCTGGGCTTTGCTTTCTTCAGGCTAGAGGTGAATTAAAAGGCTCCTGAGGTCCATCCTGGGGACAGCACAAATGGAGCTCTGTGTTCTTCTCCTGCCCCAGGGCTTCAGTTTGCATCCTCCATCACTGAGGAGAGCCTGTCCTTGATGAGAGTGCTCAAGGGAAGACTAAAAGGGAGGCCGGCCTTTGTGCCCGCCTTTCCCAGTGGGCCCTTGGTCTGCCTCTGCCTCCAGCTCTCCCGACTTTGTGTCTGGCCTTTGGTTGGCCTCAGGACTTCTGTACTTCGTGCTGCTCTGCTGTCACTCCCGACCTTTGTCCCAGCTTCTCATCTGGGTTTCAGACTGGCGTCCTCTGGTCTGACCGTGGCTGTGCGCTGCATCCCCACGGGGACTTGTGAGCACCTGACTGTGTGCCCGTCCTGCTGACTAGACACTGGGCCGTAGTACAGGCACCCTGACCCATCTTACTGTGGATGGCCCTGAGGGTGGGCCTTGGTATGCTGGGTAAACAGCTAGGTGAGCCTCAGACATGAGTGTGTGTGTGAGCATGTGCCCCTGTTTGTCCCTGTAGGGATCCTTACTGCCCAGTAGTGCTGCCTGGCCTTATTCACCTCTTGCCTTGTTCACAGTACACAGGTAATTCCACACACAAGGTAGTGTTATACTGGGCTTGCCTGGCCCCGCCTAGCCTTTGCCTTTCCAGCTTCTGCCAGTAGGTGGTGCCATAGTCAGGAGAATGAACTTGATGGTGCACTCCCCTTTGGTCTCTTTTACTTTGTATAAATAGGCAGTGTAGTGAGTGGGAGGGTCTTAAGCCCTGCAGATGGAAGTGGGGGAAATCCAGGGTGAGAAAACACACTCCTCTCTAGAATCTTCCATTTCTTGCCCAGTCTCAGTTGCCTTGCTGAGCTCTATCTCTGTGTTGTCTGTGCTGTCATAAGCTCACGGCCTCCAGCCTGTTTGTGTGTGGGAATTACCTAGGAGAGCATGGAGCAAGGGTCTTTCCAAAGCTGTAGGTTCTCGGAGGGTGATGTGCTCCTGACTCCAGAGGCAGGTGAGTTTTCAGCAGGTGGGAGGGCTGGGGAGAGTTGGGGAGCGGATGGTTCAGCAGGTGAGAGCCCTTCTGTGTAAACTTGGCCTTTGGTTTGGATCTGCAGCACCCACATGAAAAGCTGGGCCGGCCCACATCAGCCTCCAGTCCCAGCGCTGACAGGAGATGCAGACAGTTTACATGCTGGGGCGTGGTTGGAAACCGTGGATGCCAGGTTTAGTGAGGTGTCCTGACTTGAGGCATAAAGTGGAGAACCATGTGCTGCAGGGTTTGGATACCGGGACCCTGACGACGGGCAGCAAGGAGATGAAGGCAGGACAGACACACGTACAGGAAAGCCAGGGTCAGGTGGGAAAGTGCTTGCTCTGATGGAAGGCACCTACTACTATCCACCTCAGCATGCTAGGGACAGCACAGGGCAGGGGTTAGCTAGTCTCTGCAGTAGGGCTTGTAGGTGAGCAGTGCCAGACATAAACACGGGGAGGAGGAAGATGCTGCAACGGGCTCGTTTTTCCACTGGCTGGCACCTCTGTCCCTCTCCCCCCCCCCACCACCCACCATGGTGGTGTTTGCCACCTCATGAACCTCAGCTGACTTTGGGACTTTTGTGGGCTGAAGTGCTGGAGTCCTTGACATGGCTGAAGCCAGGCCAGAGCTACTGTCCCCTACAGTGGAGACTGATGGCAGACTCCTGATGCCTTCCTCTGGCCTCCTACTGTGTGCACATGCACATGACATACATGTAAGCACATGCATTAACCATACACACATGGAGGAGACACAGCCAGGCTGGGACTAATGCTTCCTGCCTGCTCTGCAGCTGCGGTCAGCTGTCCTTCCATCTTGGCTCTTGTCAAAGAGCCATTATAAGGACTGGCTGAGAAGCGACTCCAGCGTATGTTCTCACTCACCAGCCTCGTGATAGCCCAGATGCCTCATCTTAAGAAAGCTGCTCGTTCCAGTAGAAAGTCGTCAGAAAGTCCAAGTGCTGCTGTGGCAAGTGAGGGCCTACAGTGTCACTACAGACACCAGAGCATCTTGTATTCTGTTAGCAAGAATGGAAGAGAGGCCAATTCAGTAAGGGGATCCTGAGGTGCCTGTGGCCATGGAGGTCACTGCTGGCCTTGTGTGGCCATGGCAGTCACTGCTGGCCTTGTGAAGGGCTCTTTGGGAATACATATAGAACACTGACCCCTGAAGTACAGAGGATATTGGGTGTGAAGGTTCTGACTACAGCATTGCTCAAGCTACCCCACAACTGAAGCTGGCTTGTGCCTAACACAAGATGGAGATTCCTGTTCTGTCTGATTATTAGTACAACTGTTGATAGGGTCCCAGGAATAGGGGGAGAAGACACCGCTGGTGTTCAGCCTTCATGAAGGGCTCAGTACCCATTTATCTATCTATCTATTTATTGAGTCTTTTTGAGACAGGTCTTGTTTTATACCCTAGGTAGACTGCAGACACAGGTACCCTGTGTAGCCCAGGCTTGCCTTAGAACCCCCCCTCCACACCTAGTCCTCCTGTCTTTCTTAGTGCTGGGACTGCAGGCGTGTTCCGCCAGGCTCTGCTTAGTGGCCTCATGTTAAGAGACAGTCATCTTAATCTAATAATCGTGCCATTCAGCAGCCATGACCCCAGAAGAAGGGCTTCAGCCGTGACCCCAGAAGAAGGGCTTCAGCCGTGACCCCAG